GTTTTAAAGTGGAAACAAATTAAAAGTTCCTTCAAATTCATTAGCCTATAAGTTAAGAATCCTCCATTTCTTTGCTTCAGACACTGTGGTGAGCTCACAGCAACCGCTTGTTATCCACTGGTATCCACTTGCAGTACACAGTTGCATTGTTGGAGGAAACATGGTTGTACCAAAAAAAAAGAGATTACGTAAGGTTTTTGGCAAGGCAAAACTGTTGGGGTCATCACATTAAGCTTGATTTTTGTGTCCCATTATTTTTTTTGTTTTTACAGTATTTGCTGCACATTTTTTTCAAATGCAAGGGCGATCAAACAGACACATAAACCTGACATCAACTGCCCTCATATATCCCCCTACCCCACTCAGTCTTCTCCCTTTCCCCTAGTGCTTCCACTGAGATCCCAACCCCTCCACCCCAATGATCAAACAGACACATAAACCTGACATCAACTGCCCTCATATATCCCCCTCCCCCACTCTGTTCTCTCCCTCCCCCCCCCCTGCTTCCACTGAGATCCCAACCCCTCCACCCCAATGCCTTGACGTGTCACTTTCCATGATAATCCTGATGCCGCGCTGGCCCTGCCTTGATGAAACCCAACGCCAGCCAAGCGATACCAAATTTCAGAAACTCATCCCGCTAATGGAACGGACGGTATTCCCAGGCGGTTTGGACCTGAGCTGGCAGGCGGGCTCTCTCCCCCCTGGTTCCGCGGCACACGACCGGTCTTTTCAAATGCAAATCAGATCCATGCGGGCACAGAGCGCGAGCCTGGCATGATGTCGTCAAGAATGGGCCAGTGTTGACAGAATTAAGAGTAGCATCGGAGAGTTGTTAAAGTACGTGACTATGCTGGAGAGATAAAGTTTCCCAACAATAGAGCCAGGCAGGCGTGTATAATGCATGCGGGCTGAATTTTTTTTTATGAATGGAAGCATTTTTTCCCCTCCAATTTTTTTTTTCTGTGTGCTGTAGTACTTTGGAACTTCCACTTATGGAAAAATTGAATCAACCGTTCTTTCGGTTGATAGAATATTTGAATATTGCTCAACACTCTGATTGCCCAGGAACATAATTGATGGACTGATATTACTGTTCAGGGTACTATTCTTTTTTTTATTCAAACATTTTGCGTTTACTCTCTGACATTCCATTGTGACATGTGTTCATTTGTCCATGCAGTTTGGTGTACATGGTCTGTATAGGTTTCACTCAATTGCGGTCCTGAAGTCATCCTTTTCTGAATTTGCCATATTGCTACTATTTTATGACAATGTCTGAAGTACCGGTAGAACACATTTGTCTTGAACCATTCACAGCATTTATGATTGAAGAAAGATTTTAATTTGCAATGTTCGTGATGAATGTTACTTACAGTGCCCGGAAATGTCATTAAAAACCCGCAACCATAACATGAATCAAAGATGAAATAATTTAATGCATCTTATGGATTTTAATAGGCTATATTTTCAAAAAAGGAGATTTTGCATCAAAATATGTATACATGTAAGTAAATTAAAATTGCACAAACACCACGTATGTACATGTACATTGTGCATGATCATTCTTTTAACAAATTGGAATGCCATCCTTGTTCAGAAAGACATACATGTAGCTACCAAAAATTCAAATTATAATTTTGGTTTCCGTATGAATGATGTATCTTAACCCAGCAAAAACTTTTGGCACTGATTATAAATTCGCCATCTGCATAACATTCAACACCATAAATGATGCATATGGAATGGGCTGTCTTTAGCCTAGGAGACTTGGCCCTACCTTAAAAAAAAAAAAAAAAAAAAAGGAAAGAAAGAGATGTATTTCATAAGTGGTTGCTAGGTGACTGCCTAAAAGCTAACAACTTGCTTGCTGGTTCAAGGGTTCCATTCTTGGTCAGTTGTTGCACCTGGTGTTTCGGTTTGGCCTGAGGGGCTGATAACGATAATTCTCCCCCCCCCCCCCCATTCATAATATTCAGGCATTTTTTTCTTACTTGGGTTCCCTTTTCAATACTCTGACTGGCTTTGGTTTAATCTATTCAACCAGAAATATTGAGCCCTGGATGTTGTTTGTCATGGTAGCAGGACTCTGCCCATTAAAGGCTTGGTTGGGGCATCTCAGGGAGAATTAATTATGCAGGTACTTGAAGCATTGCCCAAAACAATTTCAACTCTTTTCCCTCTTTTTTTTGGGGGGGGGGGTATGTGTGTGTCAGTGTGTGTGTGAATTATTTGTGAATGACACGGCCAATTTTGCAGGATGCTGGGTTGTGATTGGATGAAATGTTCAAGGAGGATAAATGGAGACCAATTACGTGTGATGTTAAGCGGCATCCAAAACAATTTCAGCAGTTCCTTTCAAATTCTATTCTTTGTAATGTGACTGAGTACCCCGGGAAAATAATTAGACAGATTTTCTCTCCGCAAACAACTGCCATTTTAACAATTGCTTTGTAGGGCATATATTTTTGTAAATAATTACTCAACTTTAGTTCGTGACCGTGGGAAAAAGTGTAGGGTTTTTTTTTAGGGATGGTTTTTTTTAGGGGGAGGGGCGGAATAATCTCCTGAGAATTCCCTGTGGAGGGAAAACTTCAGTTTGTTTAATCATATAAAAATCACCAAATTTGTACGCCAGTGCACATTTCAATCAAAATTCCTTGCTTTTGTTTCTAGAATCAGTTGATTATTTTAACATCATATATAAATTTGTAACAGAAGACTTCAATGTTCGATTTGAGCAAAGAGTAAGTAGAAATCATTAGCATAAATAGCGAACAATTAACATAAAAAGAACCTTTTTTCTATATTATATGGTACATTTTGTTACTTGAAATCTGTATGTAAATCATGGATTTATCTCAAAGTCTGTAATTTTTCCTGTTAATATTTGATGTGATCAGTCTTGGATTCTTGTGACAAAATTTCTTTAATTAATGACAGCAGTAATGCGTGGCTTGGTTCAAGACTCCAGTTGACTACTTTCCCATTACAAATGCAACAAGGCAATTAACTTGTTCAAATTGGTTTCTTTCAATAGGGGAAAATCCTGACCAGACGAAGGATAAATTTTAAGAGTGTTGATTAAACCATGAATAATTAAGCCACAGTGGCGGATGTGAGTAGGCTTCTGTTAGTGCTTCCTTAAGCCTCAATGGCCTCTTTCTGCGAGGTTTAACTCCCCAATCAGCCTGGTACCGGTATTCTCTTGTTGCTGACCAACGTACATAAGTACTGTTGTTCCCTGGTTTGTCCACTCAACAGCCCACTTCTCCATCTTTGACAGGATGGCTGCACGCCTCCCTGTCACCGCTTGAAACAAAAGCTCTCCAATCAATTGATGAGTCGATTAACCCCACCGTCGATTCAATTATCCAGGACTGACACAGACGTCGTAGGGGGCCAGTGTCGGTAACCGTCAAAGGTAGTAGCGATGTTATCGCACAAGCAGCTATGATATGACACCTGGATCCTCGGGCCCAAAGCCGCCGTGCTAAAAAAAAAAATCAGCCAATAATTTTTTCTTGTCTCCAGTTCAAGTTTTGATGACTATAGAATATTTAAAAACCTTAGAGCTTCGGTGATTAGCGCTGTGCAATTTTGAGAGTGAAGGAAGCCATCACACGCCTCAGTGCTCAGGAGAGAAAAATTAGTGTGAGTAATTAAGGGATTTTTCTTTTCTTGTGATACCATGTGAACTTCTTCTTTGCCCCTGGCACATTGCTGAAATTACTGACTTAATCCTGAGCGAATACACCGCATTGGTCGGGGTATTAGATGGAGAGTGCGGAGATTGGCAGAAGATTTGCGGAATTGGATTAAAATATAAAAATTTTATTTGGGGAGCAATTTTCTCCCCGGGTTTACACCTCACTTGCTCCGCTGTAAATTGCTTAGAATCGTCGGTGGAATGTGTAATTTTCTTGGATGGGTAGTTGTCTGTGTGCAGATTACCAGGGTTGAACTGGATATACTGTAGATGGACTTCACTGATAAAAATCAGATGTCTGTCAGTGAATTTTGTTTAACTTTTGCCGTGTCTCACACACTTCTTTGCACTCAAGTTCATTACGTGTTATTCGTACAAATATGCTGTGTTGTTAACTTTTTCAGTTTGTATTGTCCTAAATTAATATTTCTGCTGATAGCAGTCCATGCATTAATTTTGTGACAGGAATCTGAGAGTAAATTTCAAGTATGCGCTATAACTGTTATTAAAATTAAGTCATTTCTCTGAAAATCATGAACTGATGACCGTTTATTTAAAAGTAAATTCTGTGGTAATCATATTTTATAAAATTGAGATTGAACAAACTTAAGTACAGTGCAAGCTGCACTACATGCGTTGACAGAGTTTGAAAAAACCTTGTGGAGCTATTTTTCTACACAGCCTATAATCTCAACATTTTTTGAAATGAACCCAGTAACTGAAAATGTTGAAATAAACCACGGTATTAGGAAGATACAGATATGATGTTGCTTTAAATAATGAACAAGGAAATTCTGGATGCACAAGCAAATTAATCGAGAAACAGGAAACACAAAACTTCTATGGTGCTAGTTCATTCATGTAAACCGGTGACATATTCCTGCTCACTCTATGTCTTTGCTCTCCTGAAACTGTGATCTTCTATTTTTGGTTGTTTGAAATTGGTAATGTGATCTGTGAAGACAGTATATATACGAACACTTATGTGCCAAAACACATACATAAGTATTTCTGACCACATTGCCAGTTAGTGCGTACATGTTGTTGGTACTGACGACATGCAGCCAAGTGCACTCCTTGTAATTGATACGTGTCATTAGTGATTAGAACAAAGCAAACAGGTTTGGGATGCGCAACATTACGTGACACACGCTAAAGACACACACACAACAGCATGCCTCATTGATTGATGCGCTAAATTACCGACAACGGCAGGAACGTGCTACTTAATGCCTTGAGATTGCCATTGATTGCTCTAATCATCTCATGTACACTTGTGTCTGTTTTAAAGGACCATTCAAGATGGAACAAGAAGATTTTGTGTTCAGCTCAGACTCCAAAAGATACGGCACAAAGCGGATGAGTCTTTGCATCTCAGCAGATGAGGTGAGCACTGTAATGTCTACATGTCTTGTTTTCTGTGCAAACTTTTTAAGATGAAAAAGATTGGATGTTACATGCCTTGCCCTTATAATGCTAGAGTGTCTATGACAGATGGTCAAGCCATAGTGTTATTTAGTTGGTTTGATGAAGGCGGTGTTTAAGACACACCCGGCTGAACATCTCTGTCCGCACCAGTGTGTGTCAGCCCAGCATTTGTAGATTGCAAACTGGTGCTTTTGTGTAATTCTTTTGCGCAAGAAAATTAAGGCAATGGGGGGGGGGGGGGGGTAGAAAATTCATGAGATTCTGAAAGTATTCACAACTTTGCTGAAAAGCTGTTTACAACAATGTACATGTACACAGTTAGCAATTTTTTAAAAAGACCAGGAGTGATGATCATGTAAAGGTTTTTGATTGATAAGATGGCAGTATCTGAAGAGATAAGATGCCCGCATCCATCAACTCCTTCCAATCTTTACATTTTGGCAGTTTCGCTATCTCAAACCAATTATTTGTTTTATCTTGGAACACACACACATGTACATACATGCACCAGCTGCATTCTGCTTTACATGTACATGTACATATGCGTATTTCTTTCATGCTCTTCCATTTAGAATTTGTTACACACTAAGTACTTGTAGTATCTTTGCACTAATGCTGTGCAATGATGAATGTAAACAATGAAATAACTACCAGTAAAGATGCAGATCCCTGATAACCAGAACTGCTCAGAAATGTGCCTTTTCCATTTTTTTACCCTCTGCCCAGAAACTGGGGCAAAAAACATTGGAGTTCACCACGGAGGAACAAAATTAATGCCAGGGGACTATAAAAGTTTATGGTTGTGTGGATGTGGGAAAATTAGACAGATTGTACCTGCACTGTTTGGGGCTCTGTGTTGAAAAGTGTGCCGTTTCCATAAAAAAAGTGCATAGTTTCTTGAATGTGGTAATAAATCTTTGGTGTTGTCAGCAGTTACTTTGAGTAGTCCTGATTGTGAGGGTAATGACTGTTGTGGGAATTTGATTGGTTGGGTGTCGATTTAGGATTCTGTTGGGAGTGGTTGTGATTGGACGGCCTGGAATGGATTTGTGGACATTTGGTGGTTGTGGTTGTTTATTGGCTTAGAGAGTCTTGAGAAGTGAGAAGAATGAAGAATTGTGACTGAAGATCTCGGTAATCTTGCATCAGGGAAAATATAACGATTGCCTGGAACAAAATGAAAAGGTTGAGATTAGGATGAGGGAAATATGGCTAGCCCATTCATTTTGTAGGATATAAACAGCCTGTACAATAATACTGCATGTTTGGCATGTCTCCAGAACACACCAGGTTCCTGGTCCTATAAGCAAAGTCAATCTACCGTTGGTTCCCCAGGGCTGCATTTGAGATGACATTACCACATTTTAGGATCAGAACAAGAGACAGAAGCAACAGAAATGAAGAGGAGAGACAGAGAAAAGAGAGAGGAGAAAGAGACAAAATATTGCCGCTAATACCGCATCTGTGCCTCATCCGGTGGTGAGATATTTCCCCCGCCGGCGACTGACAGAGTGCCAGCGCTGTGTGACAGTTTAGATCAATATCAACTGAAGCCACAGATAGTGTCGCTGAGAACTGACGATCAGAGGGGGCTCCGTCAGGTCCATGATAAAAAAAAAGGCTGGCAAAATTGAAATTTTAGGGTTGCAATGCTGCTTTTAGCCCAGGCAGTGTATTTGAAACCCCCCAGGGGGCTTGAATTGTGTGTTCAGGTTTAGCCATGGCGTGAAAGTAAAAGATAGAAAAATATAATATGAAAAAAAAAATCTAAAAAATTGAACTGCGAGGAAAAAAAGGCCCTCGGGCAGGGATGGAATATTGATGAATCGTTGCCCATTGTTAGTGTGCAGGAAGTTCATGAATAATGCATGAAATCAGGCTTGTATTTTGTCACCTCCGGAGATGAGAAAAGAGGAAAGTGTAGTAGACCCCCCCCCCCCCCAATGGGGACGTGGAGAGCTTATTGAGGGATATCCATGATGTTAAGAACCAAAATTGGTTTTTGTTTTTTGTTGGGGATGTACACTTAGGAGCAGGCTCATGCAGGTGTTATTGAAGATGTACATCTAAGAAGTTTGTAAGGGGCTTGTTTTTGAGGATACCTTCCTACAAGTGTTCAAGTTGTTGATAATGTGTTGAGTGCATTTTCTGTACACATCTTTCAAAACATTGCTGGTGGTATAACATGTGTTTTACAATTAATAAAATCATACCATCATACAAGACATAATAACACCACAGCTCCAGTAATGAAAACAAAAGTTCGTTATCCCAATCATACAATTTGCTCAAGGAGCGGTAATCAGCAATCTCCCCAAGAAGATAAATAAGATCCTGTGCACTTAAATCCCCTGCCCTATCCTGCCAGCTTTTGCTCTCCGTAAAAACAGCCCCCAGGGCAAACTTGGTCTTAAACTCTCTCAGTCTCCCTCTCCCCATCTTTCTCTTCTTTTTTTTTCTCCGGCATCTGGGAGATGTCCAAACAACCCCAAACGTTTTCCTTCGTCTCCGTGCCTGCTCGGGTAGAAGAACCCAATCTGGTTAGGGCCTCGGACCGGATTTATATATGATAACCCAGTTTTTAGGGGGGGGGGGGGGCATTTTTTAGCAATCTCTCCAGGGTGCCAAGCTAAGCAGGAAGGAGCCTGCATCCTTGCAAATGTCCGCATATAAGGACTGAAAAAGCATGGAAATTGGTAGCGAGCAAGATGGCAAAATGAAATTTGGGGTCCCTGTGGACTTGCTGAGGTCTTGTCGCCTGAGTAGGAGCTGGAAAGTGCACTTGGTGTTAATGGTTTGCTGTGCGCGGTTGAGGAGGGGGAAATGCATGTTTTCAGGGGGTATTGAGCAATCAGACCCTTCTTAATGATTAGCTGGTAATCGCTGATCAATGTCTGATAAATTGCCTATAGAGTTATCAGTATTGAGAGCAAAGCTATTTGAGACTAAGCATGCAAGGTAAAAAGTACAAATACTCCTGAGGCCGAAGTCGGTGTCCGGTCGGGTCAGTTTCGGTTTCGGATTGGTTTTGCACAAGTATGATTTATCTGAAATTGCAAATTTTAAGCGACCCTGTGCGTAAGTCAATCGGAGTCGACTTCGACATCATTTTGATCAGAAATGTGGACTGAGCTGTTGATTGGTCAATTTCCTGCCACGTTTTTGTAATACAACAACAGGTTACAGAAGACGTGATACAAGGCACCCGCTGACCCTCGAGGTCAAGACGCAGTCTTATTTTGCATAATTAGGCTAATTGTCGAATCTGCTTGCATACATATCATAGACTCGAGAATGACCGGCTTCTAGTCGAAACATAGTTTTGTAAACTGTTACAAAAGTGACTGTAGGCCTAATTGAGGCATTTGTTTGCCAATTCCATTATGCACTCGTTTAGATGTGAAAAGACACCAAAATAATTTCTTTTCTGTCTGTGTCAGGTAGTCACCAACTTTTGGCAATCTGCCAAGATGGCACTTTGCCAAATTTATATTACATTTGAGTCATTGCTGCCCATAAATTACATTGTTTATGCCACCTACAGTTGGATATAACACTTAGAGAAAACTATTTGTAAAATTTCTTCAGCTAAAAATTAAATCCTAAAGGCACGAGCCAGATTTCTTTCCATTAGGCAAAGCTACAACATTAACTTTTCATTTCTGCTCCAGGGGTAATCTTCTGAAAAACGGTGGCTGGCCTGCATGGTCAAAGATTCTCCGCACTCCCTAATGAACAAAAAAAATTGCTGCAGTTGTCAGTTCATATTTACTGTAATGTCTAAACGCTGCTCCTAGACACAAAAGCAAATGTAATTAGCGTCGAATAGCTCTTGGGCCTTTCTAACTCTTGATGAAATTTTCACACAAGTTTTTTTTTTCTTTTCTTCTGCTTAAAGACTCCATCCATGCAGTGCAAAGTATAAAAGATGTCTTAATGCTTGCTCGTTCTCTGGATTGGTAGACAGGCAGAACCTTGTCTAATTCCCATTGCAACTGTTCCTTCATCCCCTGTGGTGATCAGGAGAATCAGTGAGTAGACAAGATATTCTTACGCTGAAAATTGCATTGAATATTCATGGCACACACTGTGTGTAATTGCCAATTTGGATGTATCTGAACAGTCCAGATGAACTGAGACGCTGGCTTTTTTGGGGCCTCGAGCCGTGGTTGGTCGGCGCTTAATGATGTTCCATTACTGAAAATTAAAAAAATGGGGGAGATAATCCTGCACCAAAAATTGTGTTCTGCGTTAAGTTTTTAGGTTTAGACACTTTTGAGCTTGAATTTAGGGGCATTATTTTATTAAAGTGCATAGAGACATTTGTGTGTGTGTGTGTGTGTGTGTATAATGCGCTATATAAGAACTGTTTATTATATTATATTATTATTATTATTATTGAAAATGACTGGTATTTAACTATTAAGACTGGAACAAATTTGTTGGAAGTTTGTCAGACAAGAAAGTAGAAAATGTTGTCTTTTTCTGTCTTAACTGAAATCTAGAAACACATCACTGTTCACTTGTATGAAGAATCAGGCAATGCCTCATGGATTTTGTTTGACCAAAATCTGGCTAAATCCAACTTAAACTGCATTGCATGTTGTGTACAGTTTTGCTTTGTAATGTGGAGCACCTTCATTTTTTTCATTCCTTTTCATCATTTAATGGTCATCATTGATGACCCTGTATACATTGTAATCATGGAAGCAGTTTGCAATTTAAGAGAAAGCCTGACACACATTGGCAGTTTATCCTAACAAAAATATCCCGTTGCCCACACTCTGCCCCAGTGCCTGTGTATGTGTTATACGCAACTGAGATTTTCCCGCGGAAGAGCGTGTAATTACTATCTTCCACTTGTTGTAAATGAACACCCCTCGGATGACAGATACGCCAGGGTCTTTCATAACCGAATTGATTTTTTTCTGTCTCCACTCTAGTGAGGTGGTTAGCGTTGTATAGTGTTGCTGAGACAGAAACACCCCCGTTGGGCTAGCACCGTGCATGTCCCTGCATTAATTGTGCGCGGAAATGAAACGCTGGCAGCACTCCTGTGGACCAATTTTGCTGTTTTCACCCGGCGCTTGGTCCAGTGCTCTGTGTTAATAGGCTTTGCACGGTGGGCAGATTGGATGATGGGACCTCTCCCCACCAACCGACCAAACACCCCCCTCCACAACCACCTCTCGTATCCTTGCGATTTGTGTAAAGTGTAATACCCAGGCTAGTTTTCAGCTGATCACACAGCGGCGATACAAGTAAGCGACCTTTGATATGCATGTTGAGTGCGAGGGGGAACAGTTCCCCCCCCTCCCCTCACTGAAGCTCGCTGTCAAAACATCATACCCCTGCGCACTCATTGTTGGCGAGAAAATTATGAACGTCCGTATAACGGCAATCAATAAATCCTGGGATGGCAGAAGCTCTGGCAATTTTCTACTCCGCTATCAACCGCCGACATGACTACACATGTAGACACAGCTATGCAACTTTTTTTTTCTTCATTTGTCTGCCATATTTTTTTTTTTTTCTGTTGGAGGTGGGATTTTTCTATCATTTTGAGTTGCCCGGGTAACCTAGCAGAATCCATTGTGTGCCAAGGACTTCAGTGCCGTTCAATAATGATTAATAGTGGAGAGAGTTGAGTAATTACGTGCTTTTGTCCCCGGCATCGCGGTGGGAGTGAGATGGAGAGAGAGAGGGGGAGAGAGATGCGGGGAAAGAGCGCTGGGGTAATAATTGTGACTGCAGGGATGAGTGCGGGACTGTAGTTCAATTTCCTAAACGGATTATCGACGCGGAGGAAAAGTCCTTGATTATGAGGCGAAGATCGTGCCGGCAATGTTTGATTGGCTGGAGGGGGTTGGAAGCTTGAGGCTCTGGGTTTCTGGAGCCAACCATGCATGCATCACAGTGTCATTCTTGTACCTTTCTGATATATAGTTTGCAAGCAATAATATAATGGAGTGTCTCCATCACTAGACATGATGAGCATCAATATTATTGCCATTACTGCAAGAAGGCATTAGGCACATTTTCAGGGCTCACTGGGCATAAGTGTTACGCTTCAGTCAGGCATCATTTTTTTAAACTTGGGGGATATTATTTTTGATATTTTTGAAATGTTTTCAAAATCAAGCACTTTTCGTAGCATGTGTCTTGAGTGATGCTTTGAAGTTTGGTGACACACTGTGACATCATCCAACCGTCCAATGCAACAAGCTCTTGTCTTTCAGCTTGCTTTGATAGCTGCTGGACATCAACTTACATGTAGTTTGTAAACTGCACTGAACAAAAACCTACTTTGTAGATCGTTACGGAAGATTTCGCTTATTTGATATCCAATTCCCATGTTGTCTGAAAAGCAAAGCATTCACTCTTTATCAATTACTCATTTGAAAGAAGAAGAAAATTGCAATAGAGTCCCTCTTTTGTAAACCTTGTGGACACGGTCACTTGTTAAAACTCTGAAGGACGCCTTTTAGTAGGAAATTTGATTTGATCTTTGCCCAGCAAAATTTGTTGACAGAGAGAAGAAGAGAGAAAGCTTGAACCGTCTTGGGTCTTTGAGACTGAGCACGGCGGAGGGGGCCAGCCTGGACATGGGTCTGCAGCCAAGCCCTTAATGGGTGGGAGCTGACATTCGGCTTGATAAATTAATGTAATTAAATTTGCCTTTGGGGAAATGAGTGAATTAAGAGATGCAGTGGTATCACTTTTCTGCCGTGGGGCCACGGTATAGGGGGAGTTAGGCTTCAAGACTTGAGAAGCTGGTGAGAGAGACTGGGTTGATTTCAGTGACAGTTAATGAGTCTTTATTTCAGGAAATGGCGCTTGCATTTTGCTCCCATGTACAAATGTGGGTCAGCTCAGGCATGTATAGGCTGGCAGGATAATGTGTTATGGGCAGGACACATTGGATTACAGTTGAGGTACTCACACAAACAGACATTTCAAACACTTTGATTTTTTCTCTTCAGCTTATTGCATACATGAACTGCAGTTAGACAACGTTTAGCATTTGTTTTAATCACGTTCATTTGAGCCCATTGTAAACATCTACATGTAGTTGAATTAGTTTATTTGTTTTTATTTGTTTATTTTGACAACATCCACCAGCGCAAGCACCAGAACAGGATAGATAAGACTTGGTAGAAGATGTGGAAGGAAATAACAGTTTTAGCGGTGGGAGGTGGGAGGAAACCCCAGAATGATATTCTAGGGAAAAATTAGGCGGGATTCGAACCTGGGTCACAGCAATGGAAGGAGAAGAAAGCACTGCTTGCCAACCTGATCCTGATCCCCAAATTACACATTTTTCACAAGAAAGGGTGGAGGCAGCATAAACAAAAATAGATTAAAAGGTTGCTCTTTAAATTTTAGACAATTTTCCCTCAGAAGTTCTCTCTTCACAATGATCTGGTTGGCTAAAATCACACAGAAAGTCAGGCTCCCTCAGGAAAATTGGTACACGTGACTGATTTTTAAATGGAAAAAGAAATAAAAAGGCCAGATATGGATTGATTGATTACGCTTTATTTGCGACATGCAGCCCAGGCTGGACACAGAAATAGTCCATTTTGCGGTTTTAATGAATGTATTGATTTTCTTTCTCCCATTGCTCGGAGGAGAACTCATACAGTGTATGATTTGATATGAAGCTAGCCTTGGCCAGCTTATTTGTCTGTTTCTGTACGAGTCCTTGTATTGTTCTCCAGTTTATTGCATGATGGACATGTGTCTATTCCTCATTGAGTTCAGTCTTTATTGCTTCGTAGAGTGGGGCACACTTGTGGTTGGAAACAAGGAATCTTTCGAAATTAAAAATGAGGACAAGGTTGTGTGACATGTGCCAGGAAGGAGAATTTAAGAAGAGGACAGGCTTTTGTTTTTGATGTGTCCATCACAAACCATTCTGGCAATTCCAAGGGAATTCCACCAGAAAGTACCCCTTGCAAAACCAGAGAAAAATGTTCAAACTTTTTTGTTCAGTTTTCAGTTGTCTGGGAAGGGTGACACTGACAGAATGAATATTAAAAATTCTTCTTAAATGATAATGAAAAAAGTGCCTTTGTTTATGGTCTTTTAATGTACTGCAGTTTTTATTGAGTAATGTGGTTTTGTTTTTGGTTTGGTTGCAATTGTTAATGTAGTGGCCAGGGCATGATAAAATGCAACTCAAACTGATAGCATACTGTATGTGTACGTACCTGCCTTTTAGAAGGATACAAATATTAAATACATTCATTTCTCATATTAATAAGTTTTCCAACGATGAATTCATGTCATTCTTCAGCTCATCCTAGGTGATGTTTGCAAAGTTCTTCGTAAAAAGAAATGAATTCTAGAAGCAAACATTGACGGCAAATGTTCTTTTCATTGACAATTTCTCACCAGCTTATTCATCCAAGCATATTTTGACGATTTCCTGCATTCAACTATTTTATTAAATACATCACCGGCACTGCTGGTTTTTTTTTTTTTTTAATTTGCTCCATAATAGCAGCATCAAGTATTATCCATCTGTTCAGGTGTTGTCGCACGAGATGTTTAGAAGTGTCGTTACATGTACTGTTCATGCTGTATCAAGTAGTTCTGTGTACACGACGAGTGTTTTCTGTGCTTGATCCACAAACGGTGGAGTTTCACTCGGTAGTTATCTTGAGTACCGCAGCCCCAGTCTGTCGTGTTGATCACAACGTTGAAGCTAGTGAGATGCCTTGATGGGTTGTACCATCATTCCGGGGGATGAGCAATCCACTCTGATCTTAATTTTCATCAGTTTTGGCCTTCAACGACTCCGACGTAGGAGCATTCTAACAAATGCTGAAAAAAACGTTAGTATCCAGAGTGCAAATTCACATTAGGAATGCTAAATTGGCTCATCTGTTTAAAAGGTTCCATTTTTCATGCGTCACCCACCGATGTGTGGCCATTCAGTCTACGAGTCGGCCCCCTGACTGTCAATAATTCATGAATTAATTGTCACCCTATTGTCTTTCATTCGCCAGGTGAGAGGAGGGACTGGAAGGTGATCGGAGCTGGCTTGATTAGCACAGACGGGGGCGCTGTAACGAGTTGGAGTCATTGGATTGGAATGCATCGGGCATTGTCTGCAGTCTGTGCAGGTACGTTGCTTGATGAGATTGTCAATTCATTTTGTTGAGAGAAGTCGTATGGGCAATTCCACGGTTACTCACGTTACATTTTTGATGTACTTTTGAGTTTCCTTGGGCTGTAATTACCTTACTGAAAAGGTTTAATAACTGTTATCCCCAAGTGGCGCTCATGGCACTGCACTTTTAACAACCAGAAACAGTAAGAATAAAGAAGCACCTAGTTGACTCGACCCTCTACCCATCAACAGGATGAAGTAATCTTCCACATGCAAATGTGCCGGTTCCTGTGTGATTCTGTACAAATAAGTATTCTGTACAAAAAACGAAAATTAAAAAAATTGAAATTGGCCACGACCATTTTTGCAAATTCCAATCTACAACAAACTTAATTTTAGTCAGTGTTCAAAACAGATTCTACCAGAACTGATTGACCCTCCTGTCTAGTGGAGCCACGCCCCCTCTTGCAGTCACTATTACCTGGTACATACATGTAAATGTGAAAAACTGAGTTAAACATGTGATTAGATTCAGAATATTACAAGCTAGGGCTGAACAATAGTTTGCTAGGCTCTACCTACATGTACCATACCAACATAACATAATGGCAAACTCAATTATCTACGATAAAGACATACCAGCAGCTGACATGTACCCAATGCGTGGTAGGCATACATGTAAGTACCGTTAAAATAAAGGATATGCACAAGTGATACAGGTGTATACGGTACATTACATGCTATTAATGCGTAGGACATCAACCGCTACTGGTCAGTGCGCCACCACGCGTCGAGGCACATGGCATTTAATTATGAGAAATTGTGAGTGTAGGGGGCAGTCAGTGTCAGCGAGAAAGCCCCTAATTTGACTTGATAAAGAATTTCCTGTGGAATTGCCTGAAAAACTATGCATTTTATTATTTTTTCTGAGAGGCTTGTGAATTTACATGTAGGAGAAATACATGTAACAGTGATTCCAAACACAAATCAGCATCTGAGATAAAACCATCGTTTAACAAATCTGCCACCAAGTGACCGTAAAACCACACAGACTGCACTATGCACACTAAAGTACTGTATGTACTGTTTTCATTTAAAAAAAGGATTTGGGTATTTTACCCACTTTTAAATTGTTTTAATAACATCCCATTTAAGAAATATTCAAAATGCTTATCCAATCTACAGTAACTTTACCAGGGTACATGTGTCTGATAGCTTCATCATTGCATTTAACAGGGTCCTTCATTACACTGTTACATACTGCCAAAAGATACCTCCCATTCATCTCCACTGAGGCCATCCTTCCCCCCCCCCCCCAACAAAAAAAATCAATATTTTAATATTTCTGACACGGTTACAAAAACAAGCATTGTTACTGTCTCTGAATTGTACAGCTGTGCTAAGTCACGCACAAAAAATGATCCATCTTTTTTTCTTCTTCTTTTTTTTATACTGTTGTTTAAAGAAAACAAGGGACAATGTCGGCACACTGGACCGAGCCAGTTCCACTACGTATTGATCAGGAAGTCCTTCTAGAACAATGTAGAGAAAACGGACCCCAAACCTTGCGCTTTTGTTGCAAGTCATCTAGGCAGACAACAAAAACATTTATCTGCTTTGGAGGTAAACAGTTTAAGATAATTAATGTTTAGAATGCTTCCCCTTCAAGTTGCTCACTGTTTGCTTGTTTTCCTCTCAATGTCATTCCAACATGCATCAATGGCCGATCAACATGTAGTGAGGAAGATTAAGGGGGTTAATAATCTCTCTCTGATTTGGTAGATTGAGCCCCAATCAACATCTTCACAAGATGTGGTCGGCCGGAAAACTGATTGAATTAAGCTGAATGTACATGTATATCTAAATAAGCTTTTAAGTCCATTCCATCCTATATCCCCTGTGTCTATTGTAAATCAGAAAAAACGGTTAAGGAATCTGCATTAATGTTTGAAAATAATGCAGTTTGAGAACTTTGCATCCTACGCATGTACATATAATTGCCAGCAGTGAATATGATCTGTACCATAAGGGAGCTTTTCCTAATACATGCGGTACCCCAAGCGGAACTGTGCTATTATTTGTCTACTTTCATGTTTACATATTTTTTTTTATATGAAGAGCTAAGCCCACCATATGGTTATTACCATGGTAACAGATGTGAATATATTACAAGAGAACCTACACTGCAGATCGCCCTTCCCCCCCCCCCCCCCCCCAAAAAAAATATCCCGGCACTGCAAGGCTTACAACACCGGAAAAATAATCATGGGTGTCGCGCCCCAATGATTCCAATTATTTTCTCGGGCATATTCCTTCTCCTGCGTTCATGAGGGTACCTCCACAACTGAAACCATATAATTTTATGCCTGGATCAATTCCTCTCAAATTCAGGCTTTTTTTTTTTTACCGCCATCGACTGATTTCCATAACAAAAACGACCTCTGTTCAATTAGCAGTAGCGTGACGGACAGCCGGTCATAAAGTGCAGTGTCTGATGTTTCATGATTAATTGTGTGGAGTTCATTTCGTTTGAAGACTGCCCTTCTCTCTGCCTTTAACTGCAAAGTTTGGAGCAAACCCATTAAATTGTTCCAATGATGTGGAATTGTGCTTTTGTTAATCACCACCATCATCATCTCTAATCACCAGTATTTTTGTTGTGTGTCTAATCAAGAATTCCAGCAATAACTCATCTTATTGGCATTGTAGCTAGTGTATTGCGGATTATACTGCAATATTTGAATATGCGCATGATGTTGAGTTCAACTGCAACATATTTACATTAATTATTGTCTACTTTAGTGCAGTCACAATAAGACTTGAATGAAGGCGGGGGTGGGGGGGGGGAACTACTAAGCACTGGAGGTCAACATTGTTTTTAAAAATAAATTCATGAAAAAAAGTTCTTGTAAAAAATGAGAGAAAATCTGACTGGACGTACGTGTAGTTAATGTTATTGTCGTGGTTTTTGCAGAAAATAAGAAGGACAAACATTCAAAACTGAAATATATATTATAGATATGATATACAAAATTCATTTTTTCAAAGGTTTATAAAAAAGTGAAAAATTAAAAGGTTTAATCATTCATGGTAATGTATTGAACAAGAAATTCTCTGAACAGTCAATGGACAGTGCATTCATAATTAAATAAAGAGTAGTTGTCTAATGCAGTTGCCTTGAAACTAATTGGTGTGTGTTTGTTATCACTCCATAATTATACAATGTATACAATGTATACACAGTGTATAGCCTGTGTGAAAGCCTGTGCATATACTTCACTGCATCTCCAGCTTTCAGTTTGATTGGGAGAAGTGAAGTGCGACACCTATAGTCCACCGACCGCGCTCACACACCGCTTTAACGAACCCGGCACGAAGCTGTTCCCGGCCATCAATAAATCATTACTGCAGGTTGATTGTCAACAGCCTGTGTGCACTGTCGCCAGTTTGCGAGGATCGTTCACGCATGCAGATGACAAACTCGATGTGTTGTGTCTCTGATTGCTCCGCGTGCCATTAACGCGATAAGTGATTCGCATACAGATTGCTCTGGCAAATGTCAGTGTACGTGCGCCGTTATGTTTCCTCCCCTATTCTGGACTTTTTTTGTTTTAATCCCGTAGCCACATAAAATCCCTTTTTGTTTATTAACTATACACTGCCTTGCGTATCACTTTGCAGTGCACCAAATGCTTAAAAGGCTTCGCCTTGACTGCATCCCCTTATATTGGTTTTATGAGGGAGATTTATCACCACCGCTTCCTGGGAATTTCATTTTTTGTCTTCTTCTGAAGTCCGTCTCAAGAGGGCCATTCAGAGTTGGATTCTAAAATAAAGCATTGAAATTAAAGATCTACGGAGCTTCATTTTATGCGACCAAAAAAGAATGTGGTTTTACAATCTGCATTGCAACAAAGAGGGATGTTTCCCAATAACAAAGGGAGACAGACTTAATTTCTTGCTTTTATAATTCTCAGTATCTTGCCTTTATTTATTTTCCTTAGAGAGTATGTAACTTGCTCTGAGAAATAAAGAAAATATTGCTGCATCCGTTTCAAATCTTTGTTCTTTGACTGCACAAAAGTGGTGGAAAAGATCATGCTGGCTTGTCACCGTTGAAATTAGGTAGTTATCTTTTTACATGCTGGATCAAACAGTTGATATTTATTCATCATTCACAAATACCTAAGACATACCCATTCCTAGTGGTCGAGAGCCCGTCATGTGGGTGGTTCTAAATGGTTGATAAAACACCGACTGGTTTTATAGTATTCTATGCCACATCCTGTAGTATGCACCGCGCGCCAATCTTCATAGGAAACTGTTTTGTACTTTTCGCGCGAGGCACATACCATAAATATACGGTAGCTAGAGGGGTTTTGAAGTAAAACTTCGAACAAAATCATTGGAAATTTATAATTTTTGACTTGTTTTGACTTTCTGGCCGAAAAGTATTTATGAATGGGAATAAATGTGTGCTTGACCGGCATAAAACAAGTACGTTTAAAACTGGCTTGGGGCCTGGTCGCCGATAATGGCCCGAGCCGAAATGATCAGTGTCCAGGCCCCTAACTTACTTGATAATAAAACCAGCCAAGCACATGATTATTCCCTTATTTATAAACAGCCTTTTTTTCTGAGCACACTGTCACTGTGGTGTAAGCATTGTGCCAGCTATTGTCCCAAAATCCTGAGAACCTCAGTATTTTGCATCTGGTGAGAGAAAGACTCTTTTTTTTACAAGACGGTATTGATTGTGAAAGGCAAACCCATTCTGAACCAATATGTACATTGTACAATGTACACAGAGTTCTGCTCAATCTACTTTTAAAGCAGGTGGTTGAAAGACTAATTATGCTCTTAAGTTATCTTCAAGTTTTCATCCTCCGTACATTTTTTGCAAGCCCATCCAATAACAAGGCTGCAGTGAGTACAACTAGGTTAAAGAAAAGCCACTTTTGACCAAGAACTAAGGAATAAACATGTATGGCTCCATATTGATTTATGATTTCTTAAGATGAGAAAATTGTGTTTTTGATGCCTTTTAAGAAAATGGCATCATTGACAAAAAGCAGATGTGTGAGAATGATACCGCATTGATGAGTAATGCTGGATGGTTGCCAACAAGAAGGTACATATAGAATTACACCACAACTGTTTCCATAAATCTTCCCATACAGCGATGTGGTTTAATTCATAAGTCATTTCTAAATCACAGTTCTGTGATTAATATCTTAGTCATTTTCTTTGAGGAACACGTAGTTGGTGACGCCGCTTTCTTTCAGCCTGCTCCTGCATTCCTTATTGATTACTAAGCTGATTAAATATTTACTCCAGGGGTCTTTTTTATCATTATGCTGCATCAGGTATCATCATGACGATGGAGGAGCATCACCCTGGATGAGAGATCACATGACCCCAGTCCATTCAGATGCTTGCAGCCTACCATTGTCTTTCCCTGGTGTACTCATTGTGGAGGAACAATTACTGACTCTTGAAGGAAAAAAAGAAGAAGTAGGTCACCCTCTGATTATTTATCTTTATCTCTGAGGATGTTGTCATTTGTTGCCATGACGCATGCTAAAAGCGCAAATTACTCGTTAAGTGTGTCATCATTGCGCTCCCGCCAATGACGAGAATATTTGGCCAAGCTGTCACCAGAGCGAGAGGCTGAGATGAGACACGAGCTGAAGAGAAAGGCAGACTGGGGAGTAGGGAGGGAGGGAGGAAGGGAAGATATGAGGAAGTAATTGTTTTCTGACTGATTTTTATCAGATGGGAGGAAGGGGTGTCTTTCTCTCTCTCTCTCTCTGTGCTTGTGACTGTGAATGGACTTTCCTGGGCTCAATCTAACAACAAATATTTGCCAGTAATAAGAGGGTCTGCACGTGTACAAGTGGGCTTGTCAGCCTGAAAGCTAGCTTCTCAGTGCTCGACCCTTGTGGGAAGTGAAATGATACTAACAGGCAGAAAAGAGAGCGCTTAACGAGGCCATTTCGATTATGGACAGAGTGCTGGGCTGCAAACGTGGGGATGATTAGGAAGTGTTCGTGACCCAGACGCTGAGCTCATTTATTGGGGGGGGATTGTTGTTTGAGGCTTTTGGGGGTTAGGTTTGGTGTTTACATTCTTTCTTGGATGCGGGCAGCGAAGGAGGGATAGTTGGGACAAGCATTGACAGGATGGGTTTAATGGGGATGTATTGATGGAGTAGGGCTGTGAACCATCAGGAGCGTGGCTTCTCAGCTGACACTGGAAATGTATACTGTCCTCTCATCCATCTCCAATGCAAGGATGGGAGGAGGATAATGTATTGTGTATTAGTCGGCATGGTGTTTGAGCAACTGTTGTATGGAGTTTCAGACTTCATGAAGACTGGCACTTAGCGTTATTAACCCTAACTCCCTACTTAGCATTACTAAGTAGAACACCATCTCCAACAAAATCCATCACTCACTCTACTTCATATAATGCTTCATGACCAAATCCGTTAAAGTCTGTTAATGTTGGTGTTGGTAGATTTTCATTGACATGGCTTAAATGACAAATGACAACCCCCCGGCCCAATTCCATTGAACTCCAAAATTTAGTCAAACCAGCAGGAGTCCGCTGAAATCCCCCCAAAGGGGGGGGGGGGGGATTTTGATGGAGTTAGTAAGCTTTGGGTTAAACCGGGAGTATTATGCAGATTTTGGGCTCATAATGTCCCCATCTTCATTCATTCATCTGTGGGAAACTGTAGAGTGCCAGGAATATTAATCCCGGCTTATTTGTGCTAGAATCTTTCCTGATTCCTTCATAAATCCTCCATGGTTCAGAAAAAAAACAATGGTTTATTATTCTTTATGTCCAAAATGTACATCCATTTTAAAGGGAATCTGGTCAAAGAGGATCGGCCCATATTTCCTTGATTCTGCAAAATCCTCCAAAACCTCTTGAAGGATTTTTTTTTAGAGATCTATACATTGCATGGGAGAGAATTTTCAAACAGTTGTAAGCTCTGTTATATCCTTCTGATGGCCACTGCTTAGTAGCATTTCATTCTTGCTTCCAAAAACGCACATCCTTAGTCTTATCCTTGGTGATTTCAATTTTTTTCTGCCCAATCAATATTTGGCGTCTAGGCTTGTTCAGTTGTTGAGGCTGATCAATATTGGATGTAATGCATTTATGTGTTACAAATTATAAAACTGTCTGTATATCAGTTGGCTGTGCACCTGTCTGTGGAGGGGAGATGTGATTGGATAGCTAGGTGCTTACTATAGATCAGATTGGCCAGTAGAGCATTTTATGGGCTCTATGCACAAATACCTCAACGGTTAAAAAAAAGACAGAGATGTGATGGCCACTTGCATGCTATTGGTACTATACCCCAGGCACTCCTCTGAGAAGATGCTTCTGGTTTTGCACATTCAGGTGAAATTAAATGGGCACATCCTCCTGAAATCGCCAAATTTTTATGTTGTAGATTGTTGACTCTTCCTATTTTAATGGTCTGATTGAGAAGAAGCTACCGGTAACCTGGGAAAAGACGAGATATAAATCTGGTTGTTTGCCGTAAATAAGAGTATATATACGAATATATACGATACACATTGTGTGTGTGACACATGTTGTTTTTCGCACGTCCGCAAAATGTGACGCACTGGTGGAACATGTGCGACAGAAATCACAAGTTTTACCCAAACAGCTTGATTTTGGAGAGTCAAAGTTTTGACCCCCAGAAATTCATTCTTGCAATAATAACAGTAACACATAAACGGCCAACTTTTTAAAGGAATGTTATGTCATCCTACTTTAAACCCATTAGCACCTGTACTACATTGTATAACATTGTATTTATTCACTGAAAAATCAATAAAACCATAGAGTGCTTGGGCAGTTTTGGGTGCTACAGTCATGGGCGTCGCGAGGGGGGGCAAGGGGGGCACTTGCCCCCCCCCCCTCCCTCCCGGAAAAGCAAAAAACAAAAAAAACAAAAAACAAAGGAAGAAAAAAAGAACGAAAAAAAGAAAAAGAGGCGCGAAGACAAAGTGGTGTAAATTTAATGAGTTGGGGGGGGGGGGGCAAAATGTCCCTGCCCCCCTCTAAAACTGATAAATCGAGAATGTGTTGAGAAAAGCATTTTTTGGCCAAAAAAATTTTGCCCCCCTCTAGAAAAAATCCTGGCGACGCCTATGGCTACAGTGAGTAATAGGCAGGGCGGTTTCGGGCGTTACAGTGAGTAATAGGCAGGGCAGTTTCAGTAGCCCAATTGGGAGCTTTCTGGGACGCGTGTCCCTTTTACTTTGCATATTCTGTGCACAAGAATCGGTACATGCATGCAATGTGTCCATCACAGGCGCCCTCATTAGTCCACCATGTCTACTGCTGTTACACGGAGTCTACCTGTGTAGTTGTATAACGTCAGCTCCTTGCATTTTGCATGTATGTGTACCGTATAGCCTATATATTCAGAAGAATATCACATACACAGTGGCCTTGTCTGAGATTGAAATTGAATTTATTTGCATGGAGAGCAGTGATGTACCTCTCAGCCAAATTGCTGATCAAACACATGTCTACAAACCCTACATGTACATGTACCTCCAACATTATCCACCCTATCACGTATCACCTGTATACATGGACCTGTAAGCGAATGCTAGAGCTCAGTCAATCCTAATTAATTCCTCAAATTTGATAAGCCATCAGGGCTCCCCTTAAATCAATTGGCCTATTAGGCAATTAGTGCAGCCTAACGAGGCTAATGCTCAGTCACTTGAAACAAAAGATGAGGTGTTCAGTGATCGGTCGTGAGTCACATCCCCCTAGCCGCGGCGGCTCGGCACGTCAGAAGCAAAGCTCAATCTACATTGAATCCGAGGGGGAGGCCGTGTGTATACATGCGTAGGCAAGGGGCATATCAGCAGCGCTAGCGACTCCTCACTATCTACATGTGAACCGGTTATCACTGATTGTAATGACACGCACCGTACACCGATTCATTAGTTCATGTGACCCACGGAGTCTAGAGGCATCTCTGGATTTGTTGTGTCTCATCTCGTCGTCACTGCTGGGGACTCAACATTGATCATCATAATGGTGGGACTGGAAAACCCTTCCCTTGATGACACATTGTGTGTTCATGTACAAAGCGTCGGTCTCGGTAACCGGTGCTCTGCTCATCCCCGGTGCCCCTGTGACTGGAGCAGGAAAAATCCGTGTCTCTTGATTGCTTGCATAAAAATGGAAATTGCAAAAAGTCACGCACATCACCAGGGTCTGTTTCAGGGAATCTCTGCAAATTTGTACTGTGGCTTGTATGCGTGTGCAGCTACAGTAGCTGCTTATTTAATAAGAAATGAATTCCGGGAAATTTAATATCATGAGCTTATATGCAGCATTAGAAATTTACCTAGCTGTGGGATTCAGGGATTGTGTTTGGTTATGGAAGTGGTGTGATTGTATTCAAATTTTGGCTGCATTGAGATTCAAAATTTCTTCTTAAGAGTGGAATTGAGAAATATCAGTTTTACCATGGAATGTTTCATTTATTGATGTTCATGTATTGAATATGCGCAGATTGCCAATTTTTTTTTATAGGATACTTCAAAATTGGTTGGTTGATTGTTGATCGTTTGATTGATTAATCTTGACTTTTTGATGACCTCTTTTTTGTTTAAAATTAGTTATTCTTATTGTTTTTATTTAGTTGTTCAAAATAACAAGTAATCCATCAACATTCAGTGGACTAGTGAATAGTAGTAATCAAAAGGTTGTAGGTTTGAGTCCCATCCATCAAGTTTGTGAAATTTTCCACATAAGCTCTCAGATGGCCCAATAAGGAAAAATGCAATATTAAAATGTACATAAAATCACTCAGATCTTTAAAAAAAAAAAAAAAATAATAACTATCTTTGGTTCAAATAACCCATTATTTCCAGCCAACATGTACATGTAGATTGATGTTTCCCCACCCAAGATCTCACCAAGTGAGTTCTCTGGTAAGGCAATACGCGTCTAAGTAATCACTCCGTCTTCAAGCAATTTAAGGGTATGTGGATGTAGCTTGGCTGCAACCTCTCTCTGGAGACCAAGCATTTAAGTGCACTCTGCTTGCAGTATAGATTGAGTCATTTGCATTGAAGCGAACCTAACCGGTTTTCAAAGAAAATACATTTTTCTCTGATGCACCTGAGCAGCTGGATAATTGGCATCTAAATTTGTATTTTAGAAAGTATTGTGACAGAGTACCAAAAGATGCACACTTCAATTCCAAAGAGTTCATTTTTATCGCAGATTTAACATACTCCTAAATTTTCAATGCAGGGATGAACAAAAACTCCTAAATGAGCATAATTGGCAACACAGATTGCAAGCATATTCACCCTTCTTTTTTATTGTAACACTTCAAAACAAATTATTAAAATCTGGTCATTTGGTTTAGGTGCATTGCTTTCAATTAACAGGACAGCAATTCATACCCTGTTTTGCATGTATATTTACCTGACAAAAAGAGTTACTCAATTTTGCCTCATTTAGAAATTCCTTAAACCAAATGGTTCGATGAGGATAAATGGGATTTGGTCTTGAAAGCTTAGAGGCTTGGGATATCCAAGCATAATGCATTGCAGCCATTCATTTATGGGACTACTTTAATTTGATGGATGGCCATACATGTAGGTAACAGTTTGTAGGGGATGTAGCAAATCTGTAACCTCTAATGTAAAATGGCAGAGTTCAGATTCAATTTGAGGCAATAATCCGACCCATCTTGGTGGAGATTATGAGAGGCATGGGTTGATGAAATCTTAGAATCAGGTCGCTTTAAGGAGAAGGCCATCCGAGTGAATAGGCTCTGTGCAGTGTGCACATGTACCCCTCAAATGTCACGAAAGGGAGAGTTGGGGAGACCACTGGGAGAGAAGTGAGTCAAATGTATTGCTGACGACGTCCGACGCTCACACGAAGACACTAGGGCTTTGTGCGCATTTATAATAAAGCAAGTTGTGCATACTTCACGCTATTCGTATATGTACATGTACATGGAAAGGTACGCGCACAGAGTGTTTCCCCCACTGGAGCTCTCAAAACTAGTCTAATAGCACCCTCTCTTGTTTGCGCACAGAGCCCATTGGCCTTCAATTAGCCCTCCTGCTGTTTGTGCAGTCACATGCAGACAGTCAAAACATCAATCCTCTACCCCTGCCATGCCTTTTACACAGGCTAGTCACCAACAGTCAGATCAAGCAAGCACTGTGACTAGTCAAATTCAGTCAACAGACAAGAGCAGACCTAAGTTAGCACAGCTGGCTTATCAATCACCTACAGTCAAAGCATACATGTAGCTGTATCAAGTTACATAAACAGTCACAGCCATTCGATCCTGCTTCATGTAGGCTGGGAGCTCTTAACTGTTGAAAACAGTCACTTGATTGATTTTGACTGAAAGGACAACTTGACACAGAATATATTGCATAGGAGGGTTCATGCAACAAACATAAAGCGTGCTTATGAAAATCAAAAACCTTTTTCCCAAAAATCTTGAGTGTTGCCATCATGCCAATAGATGTTTCCTAATTTGCAATAATTGTGGTTGTCTGTAAATTTCCTGTCAATGTGACACTGAAATCAGTCCATGCCCCTCCTGCAATGACCTCCTCTCTCACAATGCTCTCCCCTCCCATATAAGTGCATGACCCCCCCCCCCCCCACAACGCAGAAAAAGTTTGATCCAACGCTCCATAATGCATCATTGCACGATGGACTGGGGACCCCACTTTCCACATTCTATCAGTATGTAAATTGAAATGCATATTTCATCAATGGAAAGATGACGGATGACCCAATCAAATGGCCCTTATTCAACTCGTTGCACTTGTGCAAGATCAGTTTATTTTGTAATTCTTAAATTGGTCTGGTGGGTTCAGTGCTCTGTGATGACAGGTGTTAACAAGCCCTTTTGATTGTTTCAAGAAAAAAATAAGCATCTTTGTTCAATGGACACAATTTTTGCCTTCTAAGATGATCAAATCATGATCGAATCAGGCCTTTCACATTTTTCATAGACACACTGGGTTAAATTGTATGGGGAGAAAACAGCAAATTTTATTAGGAATTGAATGTAAGGCTGTTTGTTCAGGTAAAATAAAAAGAGAATAGATAAAGTATGTTCACTAAGAATATGAAATCCTAGGTAATGCATTCTGACCGTTCCATGTCAATCAGGCATAGTTTACTTTCGTATTACATAATGACGACATGTTGTCAAGTCATGACAAATCAGTTTACGTCAGGCTAATATTTGGATACTGCATCACACTGCGGCCAGTGCGTCATACTTGTGGCTGCATGCTCTCTCAGCCATCTGCGTTGGTTTTGGTCTAGTATTGGTCATGATGAGTAAAAATCTTCATCTCGATGAGTAAAGATGCAGAATAATTGCCATAGAAATAGTGGTCATTTATTATGATTGTCTTGAGGTTTGTAATGCCCTGGATATTAGGGGTTGTGATGTTTTGTGGTTAGTAGTATGTGAGTCACAAACTGGTAGGTGAAAAGTTCAGATCTGGGTCTTTTTTATATTTTAGGGTTGGTACTGGCATGCGAAACGTAGTGAGATGATCCTCCTTTTTCAATACCTCGCAGATGTGGAACAATCATATGCACTGAAGTGGATAAGTAGGAATTTCTAAAAATATTTTCACCAAGTGTTCAGTACATGAACATTGTAAACGTGCATCCCCAAGCAAAATCTCTGACCAAAATTCCAAACAACTTTCCAGGTACAAGTTCTGCTTTGTTTGTCGTCAGCAGGTTCCTGGGGACATCTTTTTGACTTTTTTCATTACTCTTTAATTTCTGCATAATTGATACATTTCCAGCAGTCACTTTTTTTGTGAAGTGGCCTGCATACTTGTAGCTCTAGGTGAAAACAGGTGCACTAGTGATGCTCTGAGATTTGGTCCATTTCAGGATTGTTCATCTCAAGTTGTACCCCGTCAGCGAACATCAACATGAAGTGGATACAAATGAAACACTTGGTTCCAGGTTTGTTTCCTGGCTAGGGGGGATTCTGACAAGACTACCCAGGAACGAAGTTTTTATTTTCATCATATTGATGTTTAGAGGCTGTCTTTTTATTTTTTATTCTGTCCATTGGAAGGGAAAAGATGTGTCAGTGGTTTGAAGAGGTTTGTTTCCTAACCTAGAGAAAAATGATACAAACACCCGGCCTAATTCTAATTACTGAATTGTTCAACATACGGGGTTCTTATCAGTCATGGCAGGCGGAGAATCCAACTACTGATAGAAACAAGAGACTTGTTGTAATTATGTTGTGGAATGTGTAACGTGTCGTGCGTGCACGTGTGTCAGGTTTGAGTATCGTGTAACATCTTGACCGTGCGTTGCGCTTGCTAATGCCCTGAGCACCCAAAAAACTGTAAATGCTACACGGAGAGTCATTAAAGAGGTAGCTCATGCACCACTGAGGCGCGATACATCGGTCGGTGACAAACAGTATCATCCAGCACGCTTGGAGTGGCATATTGAATCAGTAATTGGTCAGCTTTTGTTTCCACGGAATGAGTTACTCTGTCTCGGAGGTGGACGAGATTGAAGTGTTTTATCAGATGGCTTGACTCTGGCCATGCACAGGGCTAGCTAAAATGAAACAGCTAGACTTACACTTGGTTAAGCATATTATTCCTAATGGCCTGACTGCAGGCTTGCTGTTTCTGGTTGTTCTAAGTTATTCCAAGAGAGAGGCATTGTATTTGATCAACATAATATACATGTACACTGCAGAAGGTGCTGCCAGTGTCATTGAACCTAGAGTTATTGTCGTTATTTTTTCAAGTGGTTGATGAAGTGCTAGTGCAGAGTTCCATGCTACAGTATCCGTCCGCCAAGTCAAGGACCTTTATCTTGGCACGATAAGGTGTTGCTGACTACCTGCCTATCTGGACTATGAGAGACAGAATATTTTGCAAAGATGCTAGATATTTTTTAGAGCTCCCTCGTTAAGAGTAGCCACTTTCCACACAAACGTTTGACTAAAATTAGGCTGTATGAGATGGTTTGGAGGTGAGGTCACAACTCCGGCTGATCCAAGGTCTTCCATCTTGGTGGATTATGGCTGTTGCATGGACTTCTTGACTTGGAGGCTCAGGTTAGGGTTAGGAGTACGTTTCTTGCCTTCCACCTCTACAACCGTGGTTTGACACCCAGACTGACCAATTAGTTGCATTGCCTGCCTGCTTCTTGTAGGTTTTGGGATTCCCTCCCCATCAGTGTGCCTCTGCAAAATTGAGGATCTGAAGAAGGTTTCATAGACCAAATTAAGTTCAACAAAATTGTAAGATTTTCAATAAACCTTCCAATAAACATATATGTGGCTGGTACTCAAACCAGAGCCATTAAGGGTATTCCTCATTTTTTTCTGTTTATATACAGGTGCTTGCATTTGTATTTTCAGTCACCGATATGGTCCACCTGAGCTCATGGAACATGGGGGAATTTAAAAGCATATTTGGCATTGCATTAAGAGTAACCCCCAAGTTGATTTATTTTTTCATTAAATGGAGGTGGGAATCTAACTTCCTGTTGCTGGATGCATAAGGGTAAAAAATAAACCAGATTATTCAGAGCGTGCAAACATGGAGCTAGGGGGTTGAGGTAACAGAGGGTATTGACACAGCAAGGAGCCATGCTCAAGTTTCTTGTTGCATATATCGAGAGGCGGGATGATGAATCATTGCTGAATATCAGCTCACGAACTGGGTGATTGAAAAAGGTGGAAGTTTGGGGGAGGAGGTGGCAGAATGGGGCAGTGAGGAGCTCACTGTTTGGTAAATGGACATATTGGTAGTTACAATATCCACAGATGCACCAGAGGGTCAAATGGACCACTTGCATTTCCTTGGTGTTTCTTTTTGTATAATATTGGTATGAAGTTTGTACTACGAACAGCCCCCTAGTACAAACTCTCCCACCCCCTTCCTCGATAGATACTTTTCTGGTGAAACGCCCACTTCCCCAATCCTTGCCCAATACATCACAACCTTTTTGATCAAAGACATCTAACTATTCTTTATGTTTTTGTTTTCATCTGCAGGTTGGGCTGGTGGTCTGGTATAGCACAGTGTGTTTATGTTGCTGTTGATGAAGAAGAAGATTGTGAGAACCCGGTAGGCCCTGCTTAAAAGAACGCCTGATATTTTGCATGAATTTTGTTCTAACTAAAACATGAACTGATTATACAGAACTTAAGACATGTTCCTATTTCTTCCATCATTGCACTCCTACAGTTAACACCATTATATTGTTGGCATTTTACTAATCATAGCTTTTAAGCCAGTATTGTTATATATATTTGGTTCAACAGTATACAAATAATGAATGTTTAGGAGTGCAGTGTTAAGAATAATGTCATGAGGTGACAGATGGAATGTTCCATTCCACGAGAAGAACATTCCATCCGTCACCGAATAAAATCATTCTTTCCATTGCACGAATATGAAATTCATTATTTGTTTTATACATCACCAGAATAAATCCTCGTCATCTGATTGGTCAGAGTCGCATCATGTGACTGTGCAATAAAAAGTTTTATTTACCATGGAATAAAACTTCTATTTTAGCTGTGCGACCAGACTGTGGATTTGGATGATTAATTCAATGACGTGATCAACAACCAACCAATTAGATGATGGGGATTTATTCAGGCTTTGTATAATGTTGTGGAGCAAAGAAACTGACTTGAGTGAGATTGGAACCAGTGACCCGTTGTGTGCATTTACGGGTAGTACAGGAAACGGGTACCCTATTGAAGTCAAACACAGGTACCCGGGTACCCGTAAAAAGAATCCTTTAACCCCAAAATTCAAATCCCGGAAGTTGTCTAAAGGACTTTAAAGCTTAACGATGTATACTGCAACTTTCGCGAGCGTCATCTGTCGCGCGTTAAAATGCACATAAACATGAAATCTGTTTTGGCTTGCATGTAGCTTGGTTTTCATTTTGAAATCCCCCACAAATGGCATTCAAAACCTTTCTATTTTCATTGTCTGAAAAATTACTAAGTAATTGGTAAAGTTGGTTACGGGTACCCGATCCCATAATCTGGAACCGGTTCGCGGTTGGGTGCTAGGTACCTGGTTCCGATGCACACCCCTTTTTTATTTATTCTGCATGCATTTAATTCAGGATGTTTATTTATTTTTGTAATACGATTATGCATTTTACTTCATTAGTTTGTTTATTGTTCACTTGTTTTAAAATGTTATATTCTTCACTTATGAATAATCTTGTGAATTGCTTGTATAATTTTGTGTGTGTTTCATTGAACCACATGTACAGTGGTTAATAATTGACAATCATCTGAATTGACTTTTGGGTCTGTGTACAGCATCACCCACTTTTGAAGCTGTATCAGACCGGTAGGCCTATTCACACTACAGCCTCTCAACCTGGGTTGAACTCAACCCTGGGCAAAACCAGTGCCGCCCGGGTTGAGTTTTTGATTGTTCACCCTGCGTTCAACCCCGCATTGTTACACACTTGTTTAATGTCAACCGAGCTCATTTCACTTGGTCACTACTGTTTTGAACCCTGGCGAGAGTTTCAACCCGGGTTGAAAATCTCAAGGTTGACGCAGGGTTGAACATTTTCAAGTGTTAAATGCTGCATGTTTTCAACCCTGCGTCAACCCAGAGATTTGTCTACTGTGAAAAGGCCTTCCTTACAGTTATGTGGAGACACGCTCTGCAGCTGCAATTCTCTCATATGAATATGTGACAATTTTGTCACAGTTAAGATTAAGTCACATGAACAGTGTGTCATAGATATGTACAAATGTAGGGCCTGAGTTTGATGTGTATGAACTGGTTCCATGCGCCCTCAATTGGCTGTCATAAGGTCTCACGGCATACTGCCCTCTAAAGCACTTGCACAGACCCAATAGAACATCCAGTAATTGATAGAATAGGAACAAAATGAATGCATATTGCAGCCACTGTTGTGATTTGCACAAGTTGTTCATAATTGTTGAAAGCACACAATTTTAAATATAACTTAACGTCAAGTTAATTTTTTTAAACTTTATTTTTGTGTAAAGATTAATCTCCATCCTTGCAAGTAAAATTTACCATATATGCTTAAATGCCTAACAATATTTAAACATGTTGCCATGCATGCTAATGTTCCTAACTGACCAATGTAAACAATGCTCAAATTACACTTATAATATAATCAGAATAAATTTCATGTGATTTGAATTTGAGAATCTGTATATCCTTTATTGAGACATATACATTGTAACTGTCAAAATAGTCACAATGGACGTACCCTGCTAGTGTTGCCAGGAAGGTGATAACTTTTTGGCAATAATTTTTCGGTGGTCAGACAGAGATTATTTTTGTACCTTGGAGCCAGGACAGGTGGCTAGACAGATAATCAAATAACTATATTTGTTGATCTGCGGACTCTCTGAATAAGTGACTTCAAATAACTTAAAGGCTTGTAGACATTTTTTCCCAAGAAACATGTAAATGTACATGCAGGCATGTATCTTTCCTCAGATCAGCAGATTTTCCTTGTTTTTCACTTTAGACTTATAAAAAATTGAAATACACTGCATAAAATTGTCAGTCTTAGAATTTCTTCTTTTTTGGAGTTCCCAGTTGCATGTGCCTGAACATTAGGTGTGTTCTTTGACTATGAAACCCTTTCAATAACGACAAGAAAGACAGAAAAAAATGGGACAATTTACATTTTTTGAGCTGGAAAAATACATCCCCATCTGCAGCTAGGGTGAAAGGGCTCTCATGACACTCAGTAACAAACAGTTCCAGTAGGATTTGTCCCTAATCCACCTGAGATTTTCGTAGGAGATTCTGAGCGTCTTGTAGCACTAAGTCTTAGCTGTCACACAGTTGAAGATTTCAAACAGCCATCCTGTCCAAATGTGAATGCCGTGTACACTGATCTGTCAATCAGCGAATGAAGTCAGTTGTTAACTTTGTGTGACAGCCAATTGATGTTGACTTCATTTCTAAGGGTTGCACAAGCATGTGACTTGACGTACTCTTGACGTGTTACAATTTGGCATGCTTGAGAGTGACCTGTGTTATTGATCATCCTTTTGCAACAACGGTAACTGTTCAGAACCTGTAAACAATCTCCTAAACCATAGAGCACTATTTCCCTGCTCTGTGTCTAAACTGGTCCCAATTCCTGACCTGCATCTCAGCAAGGCTGTCAACACCCTTCTAACATGCACCCCCCCCCCTTTCAAAAAAAAGAGAAGAAATGATAACTTAGAGCAAGTCTTGTTGGATATCAAAAGTCACTCACAATGCACAAAGAAGTGCTGAAATTATCAATTGAATAAGATATGAACTACGTTGTACCATGGCGGATGTGTTTTTATTCCTCCATGATTGTACATAGCTTCCCTGGCCTTTGACACCAGACATCATACTGAACAAGCCTGTCTTTGATTCTCCACATGAACAGCTGCAGTGATGCCACCTGACAAGCCAGACATGCAGCTGAACTTTAACCTCTTAACCTTTGGCCTGTGTGGCTTCAGCTGTGCCCAAGAACAGACAGTTCTACCACTCGGCAGGTGTTTAAAAAAACGGTACAGCTGGATATCACCCAAATATGAGAACTGGTGTCATCTGTGTAAAGTGAAAGAAGAGTTCCGTTTCCAAGAAGTGCTGAGAATGGTCCCAGGTATGTGGCACTTCCTTTATGAAACTAGGTTTCTTTATTGTCCCTGTTTGATATCTGATTCCTGTTTTCAGAAAATGTGTGTCGGTCACAGATCCTTCACACCAGGATTTGTGTTCTTGCCAAATCCCAAAATACTGTTATGTTACCTGATAGGGTGCTTTTGCAGACATGTAGCGCCTTTATTCATTAATGTGTTAGACAGTCTTTGAAGAAGGTGTGATAAAGCAGAGGCACAGGGCACCCAGTCGGTTTTCCCATGGTAACCAGTTTTGTTTTGTAGAAGTAATTGAGGCGAATGTTTGATTAAACCTATACCAGAGGTAGAAAGCATTGTGATACACAAGTAGCTGTGGGGTGCCATGGTCCAGTGGTTCGAATCCTGATGAGGACATGTTGCTTGTGTCCTTGGGCAAGACACATTGCTACAATTGCCTCTCTCTACCCAGGAGTGTAAATGGGTACCTGTGAGGGTAGAGACCAGATTGCGCTGATCTCGGCTACAGAAAAGTGGTCTCATGGCCTGATGAACAGGGGTAATAAATGTGAAGCGCTTTGAGACCTAGTCCGAAAATTTGGAACTCTCAATACTGTGTATGAGTTTCAAAACTTAAGGTATTTAAAACATGCAATACAAGAAAATAGACTGGCACCTGAAACAACCAGTCTAACACCGCTTCAGTACTGCATCAATCGACCATGGCAAAAGAATTTCAGAAACATGTGGCATGAACTGGGAACTAGTCTCTATTTACTTCACATTTCTCCATAGTCAGCCACCAGACTAATGACACTGAATAAAGAGGTCTTTTCAAATAGTTGGACCATGGTTGGACATGTACCAGTCTAGTCTTTAGCCTCATTTTGAAATCACTTGACTTCCCTCTCATGTTCGAAATATTGAAGAAAAGTCTCCTTTAAAAATTGAAGTGAGTCTGCCAACTTGGTTGGTGAAATGCTGAGGACCTTTTCTTTGCCCAGTGGACTTTTTGCAGAAATTTGCTGGCTAAAGAATGAGTAGAGTTGGCATGATTTAGATTTGCACGTTTCAGAGCCCTGCAGGTCCCAGTCTGTTTGAGACCTAGCTTTTGGTGGAAAGTGCTATATGAGTAACGCACATTATTATTATTATTCCTGATGAGTTATTTTGTGGACAGTAGACAGTAGTACCACCGAAGTACTTTTCATTGATTTTCTAGAGCTTAATTATCAGAACTTTATATAATTTTGTTTACGATTCTTCCTGCTGGCTTCCAGGGGCATGTGAAATGCATTGTTGTCTTTGTGAAAACGAAATACATGTTATCCAAATTCATTTGCTTTGAAAAGCAAAACCTACCAGCAACTTCATGGATGTGGAGTACAGTGAACTACAGAGGATAGTATATTGTGCAAATAATTGAGACAAAGGCATAATTGGGCTTTTGAAATGTGACAAGAAACTGAAACTGAAAAGATAACAACTAATGTGTTTTTAGAAACATTGAATAGAAAAAATGCAGGCCTGCACACCTGAGTAAAAATGCAGACAATTGTTTGAGAGTTTGAAAAACTGTTTTGTTTTTAAATATCTGTCTTCACATTAGGTGAAGACAGTAGTAAACATTGGGACTAAGAATGACTGTTTCCTTCAATTTGTTTGAACGTGTGATGATTACAAGAAATCTGTTTTACAAATATGACTTGCAGCCTAAGAGACAAAATATGTATCACAGAAAATGAGCCAAGTGCAAAAAGGTAAAGGTCTGACAGTTCTCTAAAGAGAGGAAGTAACCACCACAAAAATCCCGAAAGCTGCCAACATGTATTGATCTGTAGAGGAGAAGGGCACCATTGGCCAGCATGGTGTTATTAATGCAAGTACTCCTCACACAACTGAAATCACAACCACCAATCGATTGGAAATCCTTCCACACTGTTTTTCCTTTTTTTCACACTTCCACACCTCAGTGTATCGCCCTCCAGCTAAAACAAACATCCTCAGAACTTTTTGTCAGAATACGTTATTTCTTTTTCTACGTTCTTTTCTTGTGGCAAGGGGTCAGAAAGGGAAGCCGCACAAGCTCAGAGCTACTGCCGCCATCACCGCAGAGCGCCAGGGTTGGACAGCCAGCATTTTGCGCAGGTGAGGTGCACTTAATGAACAATAAGCCCCCAATCAAAGGCCCAATAAAAAAGAGAGAGGCCAACAAGAGAAGTAGGGACAGACCGAGTGCAGAGGGGAAAAGTGCTGCTTTTGGGGCCGATGGGATGGAGTGTGGTGTGTAACACAATCCCAGCACGCGAGTCTTCAATACACAACCCTCAGGATATGAAAAATGAGCCAATGATTATTGCTGCTGGAGTTTCTGATGCTATTGACCCAATTTGGGGCTAGTGTTACCCACAAAACGGATCAGAAGAGGGACCCTCGGCAGGCTGAAAGAAATAAGGAAATAGAAATGCACCAGATTAGATGTTTTCCCCTCCGTTAGTGAGAAGGGGGAAGAAATAGCACCCGGGTTCTCTTAAGGAGGTAACCTAGGCGAGGCAGGATTGGACATGAATACAAGGTTTCATTTTTCTGGTCCACGAGTTTGATTTGTGCGCACTGGTGTCATCCCTCTCTCTGGTGTCATCCACGCGCACACAGGCCTTTTAGGAACCCCTTGAGAGATAGATGAATATTCATATCCTGGGCTTCGCGGAGGCTCTTGGGATTATTTGAGCCGTATCTAAATATGGGATGCTGTCAAATTCAGGAGTTAGATCAGAGATTTTTTTATGGCTCCTTGCAGTAAGTGCTTTGAAGCAGCTGCATGGGTGCTTAGATTGACCACGGACACTTGGCAAGTATAATACAGACAACTTTTGTGGATTCATTTGGTAAAATGCAAATTCAACAGATACTGTATTTCCCTGGCTGTATGTGATGACTATCGTCTTACAGAAGATTACGTTACTTTACAGATGTTTATCTATAGTTTGTGAAAAGAAAAAAATGCTTATTGTTAAGCACCTCAATAGACCATTATCATGTTGCGGCCATCTTGAGTTTTCCCATTCAAATCAACGTAACTAAAGCGAGGCTGTAAAGAAAAATAGTCTGGTTCCTTTTTGCTCAAAAACCCATTATCATTCAGTAATGTTATTGGATACATGGCACATGACTGAAATGGTGGCAGCATGATAAAGGTCTGTTTGCTTTGAGTAGTTTATGCTTTGTAGTTCCATGAAATTTTGCCGTGGTCTTTTTTTCATGGCACTTGCTAATAAGCAGATTTGATTGGGCAAACGTTTATGCCCATGAAAAGTCGGTTGGGTACCAGTTCCATGCAGTTTACATCACTTGAGTTTTGTGATTGGTAACCTGTTTTGTGATTGGTAACCTGTTTTGTGATTGGTAACCTGTTTTGCTGACTGTTCTTGCTAAGCAAATGATTTCATTGCCAAGCACATTTCTGTGCTGAGCAGCCACACATTGATCCCTGCTTCCAGGGGCAAGTCTGGGCACGCGCGCATCAAACAGCTGGCTGACCCCACAAGTTGATGTTGACAGTCAAAGCAGGCAGCAAGCGAAAACACACTGCTAAAGCCTCCAAACAAGGTCAAAAGCTTTTCCTTTTTGCAGTAGATTCTTGAACTTCCAAGTTATTGAAACTTTTTTCTACCCATTTAAGCCGGGGCACGTTCCTGGGCTCCCCTGCTACCCCTGGGGCTAAGATATGCCAATCCTTTCGCAAGCCGGTCTGAACTTTTGAATATTATTACAACGCTCATGTATATCATGGAGTTCGTTGGCTGGGGCTTGAAAGAAACTTTGATCAAACCACAAGCCCAGGGAACAATAGCATTGCGAGCTGGTGGTTTGAATTGCCCGTTGGGCAGCAACCTCACCTCACCTCGGCCACATATAATTACCAAAAAAGTCTTATCAACATTTGATCTCCGTCAACCCTCCAATTTGAGTTTGATCCACTTTCCACTTCTCTGTGTACAAGTGAATTGATTCTAATTTGGGTGTCTCAGCATTTAAGCCGCAGCTAGCGGCTCGATGTGTGGTATAATCCCAATGATATGCCACGATTTTTCTAATATATTATTCAAGTAGGAAACGTTCGGTTAATTCGTCTTGGGCGGAATTGTGTTCATAGGCTCACAGATTTATAGTTTGCCTCATTTTTTTAAAGCCCAGCCGTAGGGAATCATTCTGGATCCTGCAATATCGGGAAGTGTTCTCCCTTCCGCTAGGGTCTTGTTTTGTCGCTATTTTGTTTTTCAAAAGAGTTGGTCCGTTTTTTTCCATCCTCGGGTAAAAGGTCTTTTTACAATTGGTCATCATGCAAATCAAGCCCTGGTCCGTATATCTCCAGGACCCGGGCATTGTGACGCTGATATTGGAGTGTCCTGGCGTGGAAAATTTGGGGCGTTTTGGAGCATTACTCGACATGAGCAATTATTGTGCCCTGTGGATGTGACGCGCTGCGCCAATGCAGAGAGGAAAAAACTGCTGAAAAGAAGACATCTCTGTGTCCTAAAAATGGTTGTCCCAGTTTAGAATACGGAACAAGTTTGGTGAACTCCATACGCAGTGGGTTATAAAAACAAAATGCAGCCCAAAAAACTTCAAGACGTTTGCAAGTAATACTAATATTGGGGAATTGACTGCCATGTCTTGTATTGTGAGTTGAACAATCAGCGGCTCTGTTTTACAACTTGACCTTGCTGGCTCCATGTAGACTATTTATATCAGCCGTGCGAAGCACGCTGGTATACTGTGATCGTCCGATTTCTTTCTTTCTTTCTTTCTTTCTTTCTTTCTTCGGGCAAACGGTCACGTGACCAATATAAAAATGGCCATAACTCCTAAACCATTCAGCCGATTTCAAACAAACTTGGCCAAATTAAACCTTGTCACATGCCCTACCTAGCCATGTTCGTAAAATCCGGCCACTGGTCATTAAAGGGGCAGTAGAGGTCATTTAATGAATATTTACAAAATGCTTCTTCTCCCACAGTCTTAACCCAATTGATGTAAACCTTGGTCAGTTGTTTCTTTAGACCAAGCCTCACAAAATTTGTTCACAGAATTTGGCCAGTGGTCACCTATTGGTCAGTAGGGGTCATTTTATGAAAAAAAATAAAAAGCTGTTTTACATTTTAAATCTTTGCAGCCCTGTTCAGTGTATTTTTTTTTTATCTCTAATTCTCAAATTTCATATTCCTGACTTATTTTGTTGTTGAGTTATTTCAAGTTTTTCATTTTTCAAACACACATAAAAAACAATATAAACACATAGGAATTCTGGGAAGGTTTTAAACCACCACGATACTGTGGATGTTGTATTGATACTGCATACTTTTGGTCTGTTATAGCAGCAGTGCCACCTGTGTAAAGATATGTGTTCAGCCAGATACTCCACCGTGGATTAAAGAGTACGGAGGCCAATAAATAACACTATTGCTGTGGTGAATTTTTGAGTGTTTTTATGGATTAATCTACGGGCATTAACTACTGTTTCATGTGTTGTCTTTACGGCTATTTTTTGTAATGTTTCGGCGGTCTTAATATCAAATATTCATAGTTTTTTTCTCTTACATTCTTTTGCTGATCTCAGCCACATTTAGCGCAGCTTGTGATCAGTACGAGTCAGGATTAAAAAAAAACCGATAAAACGGCAATTTAGGCTGATATCCGTGCTTCGGGAAGCACATTAGCTCTAGTCCCTGTTTGCGAACTCCCAGGATGAAGTTGCATGATCATCAGGCTGAATTCAATTTATTTTGTACTTTCACAAAATTCTGGAAACATTACAGGAAACTTATGGCTGTGGAGGTTTCAATTAGAAATAAGTAAACACAATTATTACCAGCTCTATTAACAAAGTTTATTCCATGCCAGTTATTTCAAATGTTTCCTCTGACGGTTTTGATAGTGTGGTATTTATGTTTCGATAACCGCAGGTTTCTGTTGTAAATACTGGTCGCGCCTTTTTCCTTTGGTGAATATGTTTGTACTACGCTTTTAGCAGAAATATGTGATTATGCGGCGCGCGTGCCACCTTAGATGAAACGACCGATAAGCGAAGCGAGGCGATTCCATTTTGGTGAAGCGCACGCGGATCCTGGAGGGGCTAAGAATAACAAACGACAGCAGCACGCTTTGCTTTTGGTTCTGGCCAAACTAATGAGAACCATAAAATGGGAGTTACACTCGTAAAATCAATATGGACTCATACGTATTTATCTCTTGACTATCGTTTGTTCATTCCCCCGGTGCCGCTGAAGTAGTATTGTTTCTCGTCACTATTGATTGATTTTTTTTATTCTTGTAAAATTACAGAATAGGAAATGTTTGAAATGGATTTCTCCTATTTTTTTTTTTTATAAATGGTTGTCAGCAACATGGATGGTGGTATGACAAGACAAATATCAATTTGGTGTAAATGTCATCTTTTCCCCTCTCTTAGAAAAACCATCCGACACAATTGCTGGTGTAGTCCCGCTCTTCAATTCTTGGTAATTATTCAATTAGCATCCGGTTATTCAGTGTACCGTAAACGAGATATCTGTGACAAGTTAAACAAAACAATGTGATCGGTGTCCTGTGAAACTAGATGTGGTTTCCTTTCGAAAGATACGGGCACTTCTGGAATGGTTTTGGTACAAAGTAGTAGAGGTACTGGTATGCTGATCTTTTTACGCAGAATTGTTCATTAATTATGAAAATAACTAATAACAATAATAATACCGGAGTCTTTTATAGCGCACGTATCTACCAACAATTAGGTACTCAGTCTCAAGGCGCTGGAAATTATGCCAATTATTAAAGAAAACTACTGATCCAGAACATGCTCTGTTATCTAGAGCTGTGGCAAGCATTCCTTTTTTCCTGTAACATGATTGTCTGCAATTTTGCCCACATTCAATGCCTGCTTAGTTTGGGTTAACCCTCCCAAGAGTCATTTCCAGAAACCTTCCTGATCCTCCGTAATTCTCCACTGTATATGCGCCAAAGCTCAATTCACCGTTCAAGGGGCATCGAGTCCAGTGTAATTCATGTACAGTATAGTTGTTAAATATGACTCTATTTTCCCGAATCCTGCTGAATCTGAAGCCTTTCTGGCTTGAGAAGGATCTGTAAGC